TCCCAGGGCGCTCAATTCTGGCCACAGAATCTGCCCACAGACTCTGACCCTGGTAGTTAGGGTCACAGCCAGGGACCTAGCAACCACAGCTTTGCTAAGTCTGCCTTATTTAAATGATGCTGGAACACAAAAGGAATTCTTATTATTTCCTAGAAATGTAGATATGCATTTCCATTTTATGTCCTAACTGGTTTTGAAGAGCAATAACATTTTCATTCATCGAAAGAGGAAAGTAAAAGTCTAATGCCAGGGCCTATGTGAGGATGGAAATACAATTGAACATAACTAAAGAACACAGCATGAGAAGGATGATGCATGCCATTTTGGGGACCAATGATTGAAGAGTTGTAGAGATTCTATGAACAAAAATAAAAATGATTTACTAATTTTTCTTAAAACATTGTTGGAGCCATGAAACTTTAAAAAATATTAATTTGTTTAAAGAGTTCTAAATAATCAAATCAGTAACATATTCAGAACAAGTTGACTCACCTATATCATTTCATCTATTTGTACTTCAAGACAAGTAACCAGAGGCTGAGAAATTACATAATTTCTGGACTACCTGAATGCCAACATAGAGAAAGAGGAATAAGAGTTAGTTACTGACATACCTATTATAGCATAACAGAGGAACTTCAGAACATACATCCAACCTTCGGGTTTCACGGCTGAGACCTTGGTGTGTACATGGCCAAGTAGTTTCATCAAGTCATCAGTATGTAGGAACTAACAGAAGTAGCAGCATCAACGACTACCAACATGATTTAATTGCATTATGTCTGAAGAGTTATAGAAAAATAAGATTTGAAACTCTTTTCTAACTTCCGTCGAGAGTAAAGTAACTACACTTATCACAGCATAATTATTTTCAGCTTCCGTTAGAATTCATTGTATTTAACAAACACAGGGACTCCTGATACATCACACTCTACGTCATGAGCGGTTTCTAATGATCAAAAAATACCACAGGAGACGCACAGCAAGTCACCACGACCATAAAAACCTTTCAGCCCCAGGAGGCCTGACAATGCAGAACCCACCCCCGTCCTGTTTCTGAAGACACCAATCGTCAGGGCCACCAGCCACTGGCTCTCACCTCAGCACTGCCCTGCGGGACCTTCCAGAGCCTGACAGCACCTCACAGCAACAACGTGTCAAAACAGACAAAAAAACAAGAGAGCAAGGACAGGAGCACTGCCTAAGCACTAACCTAACTGTTTGGGATCAAAGTGATCCAATTCTAATTCTCATGGTAAACACATGAGACAAAATCCAAGTACCACCACCTAGCATGGACCAAGCACGCTTTCTCTTCCTATCTAAGACAGCACTTCTTAGAAGGCAGGAATTACATATAAAATATCAGATGCTTGAGACTTTTCTACATTATTTATTTTTATTTTTCTTAAAGATATTTTTATTGATTTCAGAGAAGAAGGGAGAGGGAAAGGGAGAGAGAAACATCAATGATGAGAGAGAATCATGGATCAGCTGCCTTCTGTATGCCCTACACGGGGGATCGAGCCCACCACCTGGGCATGTGCCCTGACCAGGAAACAAACCGTGATTTCCTGGTTCATAGGTCGATGCTCAACCACTGAGCCACACCTGCCGGGCTACATTATTTATTTTTAAAACAAGCCAAATTATATGAGTGTAATTGTCTATCTGATCAGAATTGCATAAGGAAGCCCTGTGCACAGGTGTTAACACAAAAGGAATGAAATTCTTCAAGACTCTGAGTCTCCCAAATATGGTGTGTGACCAGCCGCTGAGGAAGCGCAGCTGAGAAGGTCTGCTGGAAACCCACCCGGACCCGCGGAGGAGTGGGGAGGAAGGGT